TTGATGACAAAAGAAATAAAAAAAAAATTAACTTGATACTGATCTTACTCAAATCTTTTATGAACATTAGCTAAAGGATTTCAAAAGTGCTATTCGAAACAACCTCGAGTGACAACTGTCGTTTGAATTCATATTAGATCCACAGACAGATCTCAATGGAAATAACAAAAGCCTAAAATAGTTTGACCTCGAGTTATGATCCATTTTTAAGTACTCCCCGGAAGACCGAGTAATGTTGTTTTAATTCAAAATTTCGTCTATAAATAAGTCTAATGATTGTTAGAAAGTTTCAGCCGAAAAGAATGTTCGTTCGTCAAAACTAGCCCTTTACCACAGACATGTAACAAAAATTGAATTCATTTGAAAATTCAATAACTCGATGAAGGAACAATCTTTTCGACTGAAACTTTCTAACAGTCATTAGATCTATTTATAGGCACAGTTTTGAATCAAAACATCATTACTTAGTCTTTCGAGAGTACCTAAAAGTTGGGTCATAATTCGAGGCTGAATCCTTTTAGGCTTTTGTTATTCTCACAAAGACATACCTGTGGATCTAATATGAGCTCATGCGGGTGTGGAGTCCAACATTTTCGGATTTGGATTCTGTCCGACGTATTCTAATAAGAAGATTGTTTGATCAAAGCTTCACTTTTAAAATTTTTTCTAATTGTAATATGAAATGAATTTCTATTCAAAAAAAAAAAAGGAAGACCAACAATAATCAAAACATTAAAATAAAAGTTTTCTTTCAATTAAAGATAGAGCCTTCCTTTTTTTTCTTGTTAAATAAATAATGATGAAAATTTATTCTTCAATAATCAAACCTGAGTTGTTCGATCTGATTGAATTTTTGAAACACTTCGACGAAATGATAATTCAGTATCAGAAATCGAGAGTGACATATTATTTGAATATATAATTTACAATATATACAATATACATCTGAATATCATTCTGTCTTCTTTTGTTCATTCAACAAATATTTAAAAAAAATATCATTATCTAGAAATAAAAAAATCAATACATATTTTTCAATATTTAAAAGCAAAAAAAAGAAAAAACTAATTTGTATGTTTAGTTTTGAATGACAACATTTCATCAAGATTGATATAATATAATAAACTTTTAGAATTTATTCATATGATATTTGAAATCCTGAAAAACAAAAATGGCTTCATCAATTTTAGATAAAGCATTTACTAAAAATAATCTCAAACATTTCCAATTCCAATAAATGCACGTGCTAATGTATTTTTAGACGTTTTTTTTGTTTTTCTTGTTCTATCTTGATATATCTTCTCATTTGATATGTAATCTAGTGATGAATGAGACCAATCAATTTTGGTTTTGGTTTTGCACTTAACAATACATGTACTAGCGAAAAAAATACGACATCATTTTCTAGCAATGTCAAAACTCTCGTGACATCTTGCATGACCTATATAACCTATAATATTTTCTCTCTTGAAGAGATGCATTACTTTTTTTTTTCTAATTCACTAATATTTCATCTATTCTGCACATTTATGTGTTTGACAATTATGTTGTTTACAAAATAAAATTTAATATCAAAATTGTTATTGAAATAAATTTTGTATAAACTTTTTCATATGAAATTTGATGAAAGTTTTATATAACCATAAACGACATTAATTCCAATGAAAAAGTGTTGGACCGGGTTCATATCTAATATAAATCGTACTTCATAATAAAATATACTTTTGTTTTTTTTCATTTAAAAACAAAACAATTTGCAATTTATTATAGCGCCAATAAGAAGCACACATGCGTCTGGTTTTTTTTTTCTTCTCTTCTTTTAAATACAATAAATAAAAAAAAAACGAAATGAATAAATATTTTAACCTTATTAAGATGGTTGATATGGAAAATTACCAAGGGTTAATACAAGTGGTACATTAGATGGAGGTGAGGGTTGAGAGGTATGGGATAATGGGGCAAGTACAATATTCATTCCATTAGTTTTTAACGAATTTAAATCAATTGTAAATGAATTTGAACCATTTATAGATTGTTGTTGAGAATCTGTTGTATTGACTAAACATGATAAAGGAACGGCTATTGTTGGTGGATATATTGTTGTTGGAAGAGGTATACATGGTGTTGAAGCATTTACTTGTTCGATTTCATCAGTTGGTTTTAATTTAGGACGTTTAGTCGTAGGACGAATTTCAGTAGGTGTATCGTCTATTTTTATTTTTATTTAATTAAAATAGATAAATGATTAACAAAAAAAAATGTTTTTTTGTTTGACTTACTATCCGTAGATAAATTTGTTCGTTTTTTTTGTTGATTTTCATCGATAAATATAACATCATTATTATTTAATGTAGTTGTTGATGGTCGAGGTTCAATAATGGGTTCATCTTTTGCAAGACATGTTTGAATAAGTGCTTTACCAGCTTCACTTGTTATCATTGGTTGTAATTTTGGAGTTGCATATGTATAAACATGACCTAATTTATTGAAAGATTCTTTGTTTTTTTAATTTTAATATTTAATTTATTTATACTTACCAGTTTCAGAAGCTACAAGAAGCATAACTTCAGTACCTGTTAATGTTGCTAATTCATATGCTTTTTTCATAATACCTGTTTTACGTTTTGAAAATGTTGTATATCGTCGAATTTTATTATCAATATAAGCCATTTTAATTTTTACACGACCTAATGTTTTTTTATTAATTTTTTTATTTGTTGAATTATCTATTGATTCATTAGAACGATCATCATCATCTTCATCAATAAATTCTTCATTATCATCATCAGATGTAATTGAATTAAAAGATGTATGATGTAATGAATTGTTTGTTTGTTGAAGATAAGATGAAGACGAAGACATCACTGTTTTTTTTTCTATTTTTTTTTTCTTTTTGTATATACGTATGTGAGTTAGTAAGAAAAAGAAAAACTGTTGATTATAGTCGTTTTTTTTGGCATAATGAGTCATACAAATATAAAGAAAGGAAATAAAATGGTTATTAACGGATTGACTAAAAACATTGGAATTAGACAAAAATTTTGTGTCTAATAGTGACATCTATTCAATATTTATGTCAAGTAGAATTATGCATAGAGTAATATTAGTTTTAATATCTAAATATAATCCGAATACACGGACAATACTTTATTAAAGTTTAATTTTATGAGTTAAATGATTACGAATATATTTTTTTAGTGTCAAGTCATTGGGCGCGGGAGATGTTTCAAAAACTAAAACGATCGCGATAGACTTGACTCTACTAGGGCTGCGGTAGGTTTCCAGCTGCGATAAACATCTCTGATATGTAGATCATGAATCATCCAATGATCGAATTTCGCAGAACTTCGATTTTGTTATTTGTATGTGTGTGAGAATTAAGCAAAACGAACTTTTATTAATGTTTTTTATTTGTGCAAGTTGTTGTTTTGAAAAGTGCTCAGTTTCTTAGAAATAACTGGTACGAAATAAATTGAAACGTCTTATAGAAGATTCTATGAAATGAGGATCGATACCTTCATTTTTAGAAATATAAGGGTCGATCACTGGTGAATCTGTACATATTTATTACATAGGATAGTCAAAAAGTTCTGCAACTTTCAAATATTTATTCGTAGAGAAAACATTTTACTAATCTTTTTACAGCAAATATTCGAAGTAGTCCCCACGATGTTCAATACAAAGTTTTATCCTTTCGATCTATTTCTGAAATGTCTTTTGATATTTGTGAATAGGTATCGAATTGAGCTTCTTGGATAACACTTTAGCTAAACTTGTAGCATCTGGATGTATACTAAGGTTACGTTTCAGATAATCGAACAACTAAAAGTCTGAAGGAACTAAGTCAAGTGAGTAGAGTAGATGAGCCATAAATTTTGATTTTCTCCTCTTAAGAATAATTAAGATTGAGAACAATATCTTAAGATGGTAGTTACATAATCAATACTAATATGTGGATCATCATTCATCAGATCCTAGACCGCATGAATATTCTGTTGAGTCATGACGGATAACGGACGACTATTCCGAGGATCATCATCTAACGACCCCTGTTCACTTAAAAATCGCTGAATCCAATTATCAATTGTACGATATGAAACAACATCTTGTCCATAAGCAGTAGTTAATTCATCATGAATTTATGTAGTAGTTAAACCTAATAATAAACGAGCTTTTATATACGAGTGAATACGAAATTAATCGATCTGAAAACAGGAATGTTGAAAAATCTATTAAAGATTTGCCATAACAGGCACTTGTGAAACTTTGTATTGGTATTTTAATATATAAGAGGTGTCACTGCTAGAATAGATTAACATGACGAATGAAATCAATTAGGATGAAATTTTAGATAACTGTTTGGAGAACTATTTGACTATCCTATGTGACTTCCGATGTAATGTAGTAGCATCACATGCAGTATTTCCTATATGCTAGATTCTCATGGTACAGACTTGGTAAACAAAAACGATGGATTAATTTGTACCGCTTCAACTTTTGATTATTCTATTGTATTTTGATCATTATAATAAAACTATGGTCTTTATCGAACATAAAACTTTTCAGAACTTAAAATAGACAAGAATAATTGAAATAACCACTGATGAATTAATGATGAGAATGTCATTCCATTTATTCGCATAGTCAATGAGAATCATCTTCAATTATAGCAGGAACAGCATTAAAAGTTTCTCCAGTCACGGAAAATGAAGGACAATCTGAAAGCGCTTTCAATAATACGGTTTATTTATATCCTTTTTTTTTATATCAATCTTCTTAAATTCAAACTCAACAATAAATGTTATTCAGTATGTTAATATTCTAAAATAAAATTCTATTAACTTTAAAACTCAAAAAATCTGATTGATGATTATTCGAACCAATTATATTGTACTTCATCTATCAGCAATTGTGAATCACCAGGACACCCGCCATGTCATCAGCAACTAAATTTTGTAAGTTTTTTTTCTTCTTAAGACATTTATTTTCAATGTAAAACAATGGTATTAAAATTACGTGAACAATTAATTAAACAAGTTGCTATCTATCTTCCATATCTTTCTTCGGAATCATGTCAATGTCTTACAGCCAAACAACGTGAACGTATACTTCGATGGCTTGCTGCACATGATTGTCTATCAAATAGTATTGTTCCATATATAACAAAAAGTCTTCTTTCAATTCCATTATATTCTCTTGAATTTTATAAATGTTATCAATTAACAAATGATATGCTTATTGAATTTGCTAAAGCAAATAATTTTAGTCGATTAAAATCACTTATTATTCATCAATGCCATCAAGTAGACGGTAAATTAAAATAATAAATTGTTTAGTTTTTCTTTTTTTTTTGAAAATATAAATGTATACATATAGATTCAGGAATACGTGCTATAACAAAAGGACAATTATCACTTGAATTTATAGCATTAAGAAAATTAAATAATTTAACAAATGCCGGTCTTGATGGTATACATTCAGCATTTTTAAAAGAAATTGATTTTCGATGGAATGAAAAAATACAAGATCAAGGTATTTTAACAATTGTTTCGAATAATCTCAATTTACGTTCTATTCATCTTATTAATTGTCATTCATTAACTGGTCAATGTGTTATATATATTGCACAGAATTTAGCTGGAAAACTTGTTTGTTATAGTTTTTTTCTATGTTCAACAAGGTTTTATTCTTTATTTATAGGAAATATTAGATATTGAAGGTTTAAAATATTTGGATGCTGAAGTATTTGTACATTTAGTTGATTATTGTCCTAATATTCGAAGGTTAGAAGAAGAATAAGAATAAAATCAAAATGTAGAAAACTAAGTTGTTTTTTGTTTTTAGTTTGAATTTATTTGGTATTATCAATTTAGATGCTGATGGATTATTTACAGTAAATATTTTTTTGTTTATTTTTGAAAAATATTTATTTATTGTGTTTGTTTTTTTTTGCTAAAGTTATTTGTACGATCAGCACATATGTTACAATTAAATTTATCTTATACAAGTTGTTTTCTACAAGAACCTGTTGCTGATTATCTTTGTTGTATGCCATTGTCTCTTGTTGATTTATGTCTATCAGGTACACAAATTTACAATACTAAAATTTTAATACGTGCTCTAACAAGACTTACACGTTTGGAACATCTTCGAATAAATGGTCTTGCAGCAATAAACGATCAAGCACTTGAAAAAGTTTGTCTATTAAATTTGAGATATTCAAAGAAAAAAAAAAATCTTTTTTTTCTGTTCGTTGTCGATATTTTAGATACTTAGTATTATTGGATGTCGACTTAAAACACTAGAAATGAATGGTTATATAACAGTTGGATCATTATCTGATCGTAGTATTGAACATATTGTTCGTTATTGTCCAGTATTAGAACAAATTTCATTAAATTTATTTAGTTTTACATCAACACTTGATTCTTTATTAGAATTATTTAGTACACCAAAACGTGCTTTACGATTACATAGTGTTTCATTAAGTTCATTTCGAAATGTAAATTTAATTTTATACTTAAATTTATTTGTTTTTGTTTTTGTTTTGTAATTCTGTTTTAATTTAGATTAACGAACGAGTCTTATGGTGTTTAGTAGAAAATTGTTTAAATTTAACAGAATTAGAACTTTCTGGTATACCTTGTGTTAATGATACACTTATTTCATCATTAAAACATTGTAAAAAATTATCACATTTAAATATAAAAGGATGTAAACAAGTAAGAAAATTCTATTTTTTGTTTTTTGTTTTGGAATTGATTTTCTAAGAAAGCAAAAAAAAAAACAAAGAAATTTTCATTATATTTAGGTAACTGATTCATCTATCTGTGATCTTCTTGGTGTATGTCAATTTATATCACTTGTTCTTTCGGGTTGTTTCCATTTAACTGATCAATCAATTCTTGCTATGGCTCATACGCAACCATTTCTTGAAGAAATTTATATATCTGGTTGTATACGTATATCACCTGTTGCTGTACGTTTTCTTCAAGATAGTACTATTCGACGTTTATATATTGATCATAAAATACCTAATGCATTACCCGATGCACTTATGGCACGTAATCTTGACACCGGCTTGTTTGAACAAGTTAGATAATGATGACAATATATTTTATTTTTTGTAATACTTTTTTTAATCCATTTACTATACCGAGTGAAGTTGTTTCAATTGATATGTGATTTGTTTTTCTTTATAAAGATATATATATATATATATATATGTTTTCTTGTATTCTTACATATATTAATTGATTATGATCACAAACAATTAGTGATGAGAGGGACAAATTGTTTGTGATCTTGGTTATCGGTTCAAACGAAATCGAAACCATCTTGCTCATATCTACAAATAATTCTTTAAGAAATGATTGTTATGATTTCAACGACAAAAAGGTAAGTATAAAAATTGAAAAGATTTGCTGTATTTGTCATGATTCTGTTTACAGAAAAATACTTGTTTTTGAAAATTGTGTTTACAAAAGTTCGTATTTGCTTATATTATAGAGGGAAGATTCCTAAGTTTGAATCTCAGTTTTCAATCGGTAGCTGATCAAGATGGTATAACACCTTGTTACTTGTAAACTGTCTTTGAGGAGTTAGGCCGATCTTAATTATTAGAATTCGATGAATTCCGTACATCCATAGTATGGTTGGTATTGAAATATTCAAAGTATAGACGTAATTAGAACTTATATTCATGTTAATTGTGTGGATGTGCACAGTCAATGGCAAATTTCGAGAGAAGGTAATTTGACTTGAAAACACGTTTTGTGATTGTGATCGTCCTTGTTTACCAAAATCCTACAGTTGCTAAGTTTTGAATACTGAGAGCTAAACTAATATAAAAATTAAAATTTCAGAAATAACAAATTGGAGTAGTTCTTCTAAAGTACCTGTTTAAAAAAATAATGGTCGTGGGTATTTTTGTAATAACTCAAGAATGGAAAGAGCTATAGAGCTGCGATTACCACTAGTCGAAATAAGAAAACATTGGGACGTCTTTTTCTCAAATAGTATATAAGACGAAATCATTTTAAAATCAACCATTTTTACAAAACATCAAAAAAATGATCTGTCATTCTGATCAAATTTTCACCGAAAGTAAGGAAATTTGCTTAAAAATTCCGAGAAATCCATATTTTTCCAGGAATTAAATAAACAATTTTATTAGCTTAAAATTAAAATGTGTGAAGATAATCATTCAAATTATATCTTAAATAAATAGATATGAAGTCCACCTATCTAAATCACATGAAAATCAAAATTTCATCGGAATGATGATAGACCGTTTTCCTGCATTTTTTTTCAATGTTTTGCAGAAATGATTGATTTTAAAATGATTTCGTCTTATACGATATTGAAGAAAAGAACGTTTCAATGTCTCCTCTTTCGACTAATGAAAACCGTACCTCTGTAGCTCCTTTCATTCTTGAGTTATTGCAAAGTATCCACGGCCACTATTTTTTTAAACAGGCATTAATATTCAATTCATTACCTAGATAGAAAAAAAGCCTTATCAATCGATTTTTATCATAAAAATACAGAACAGAAACAAAAAAAAAGGGTTTTTTCTTTTCTTGTTTGTTTACAGTTAAACTTGTGGTTTTTCTGTGTCACATTCAAACACACGATGGATATTGTTTTGAATATTTATGATCATTGGCTCTTAACACCATATGTATATCCAAAAACTGGTTGGCCTGAAAATAATCCTATTCGACAATTAATTTCCTTAACTCTATTAGTTAATATTCATGGAGTACTCTTATATTTTTTATTAGCTAGTTTTAGTTATTTTTTTCTATTTGATAAACAACTAATGAAACATTCATTATTTCTTAAAGTAATCAATATTGAACATAGATCAAAAATAATATCAATTATTATTTGTTTTATTTTTGTTTGTTAATAATTAGAATCAAATTCAACAAGAAATTAAAGTTACACTTAAAAATATTCCATTGATGAGTTTACCAACAATTATTATATTTATGTTTGAAATTCATGGTTATTCAAAATTATACGATAGTACAGAACGTTCTTATAGTAAATTTTGAAATTAATAAATTATTTTTTTGTTTTGAAATTTTTTTCTTTAGATCTAATTCAATTTTTAAAAGAATTTATAACTTTTCTTTTTTTTACTGATATGTTTATTTATTTTATTCATCGTAGTTTACATCATCGTTTATTATATAAACATTTACATAAATTACATCATCAATGGATTATACCAACACCTTTTGCAAGTCATGCATTTCAATGGTTTGATGGTTTTCTTCAAAGTTCACCATATCATTTATATGTTTTCTTGTTTCCATTACATAAATTATCTTATTTAGGATTTTTTATATTTGTTAATATTTGGACAGTTAGTATTCATGATGGAAATTATTCAGTACCAAAATATCTTCGACCAATTATAAATGGTGCTGCACATCATAATGACCATCATCAATATTATAACTGTAATTATGGACAATTTTTTACTTTCTGGGATCGTTTAATGAATACATTTCATTTACCATTTGTTTATTCGAAAAAAAGAAAAAACGAAAAATATTGATTAAGAATTTTTGTTCTTTTTTTTCTATTTCTTACTGATTCAAAAAGTAAATATAGAAAGGCACAAATCGATTTAATATGTTGATATATTTGTGATTATTCGTTCATTACATTGATTGCCTTCTATATATCGAAGGTTTTCGACTAGTTAAACGTAAAAAAAAAAAATGACTAATAAAAACCTTGATGTAAATGCATGCGTATGTGAAATCACGCGTGTCGTTAATGAATACAGACAAGAAAAAATAGGTTAGAGAGGAAAAAAAAGGTGTCGTTCAGTATTCATATATACTATTATTAGATAAGAAAAAAAAATGTTGTCAACGCCATCATATCGAGCCAATGGTGACGATTCAACAATGCCTGGTAGTTATGAACCATTTACAGGACTAGCACGTCGCAATACACCCTTTCCAAGTTATCCTTCAAAACCAAGAACACCATTTCCACAGCTTTCTCCGAGTCGATTACCAGGAAGAACACCATTTCCACAACTTTCTCCGAATCAATTACCAGGAAGAACACCATTTCCACAACTTTCTCCGAATCGATTGCCAGAAAGAACACCATTTCCTGTGATATCTCCCAATATTGGTCCACCAATGAGAAGACGATCTATTGTACCTAGACGTCGTCAACGTAGACGGAGACCACTCACACCAGAAATTGTTCTAGATCAAGGAGGTTATCGTCGTCGTTTATCACGTGGACGGCGTCGTGTTATTAGAGTTTCACTTGATCCTTGTCCGACTCTTGGTTTGCGTGGACCACCGAAACGTGTAATGGAAATTGAACGTGTTCGATGTCATCGACGTCGACGATGTCGACCCGTATGTTATGAATATGATCGTGAAGAATTAGTACCACAACCAACTACAATAATTACTAATCCGATTCCAAATCCATGCATACAATCAGTAATTATACCATCGAATAATCCTGTTGCTACAAATTCATCAACATGTCTTTCAAATCTAACTCCACAAATGATTGATAGTTTGCCAAAACAAACTGTTCAATTACCACCTATACATTTACCTGGTAGTTGTGCTAATGCTAATACAGAACTTGATACTATTAAATTTCCCACTGAAATAATCAATCCATTAAATGGAACTCTATCAATTATTCAAGCTAATCCTGGAATAAATCCTATTGGAACTACGAATATTCAACCTATTATTACTGCTCCTATTCAATCTCAATTAATTCATAGACCAACAACAGTTGGTTTACCTATTATACCACCAGTATCATCAGTACCATCAGTATCACCTGTAATGTCATCAGATCCAGGAATGCAACGATTTCAAGAACTTTTTCAACGTCTTAATATGTCACGTGCACGACCAATATCACGTGTACCAAGTCCTCCTATAATTCGACCTACATTTCCGACTATTTCTCCAATGAACAATGTTACAACTGGTCCACCACCTATTTCATTAATCAATACAGCAGATATCAGACCATATTCTTCAGCTAATATTCAATCTATAAATCCATTAAATATTGGATCCTATCGTCCAGTTAGTACTGGTCCAATAATTCCATTAAATAATGAATACTATCATTCAGTTAGTACTGGTCCAATAATTCCATCAAATATTACTTCTTATCGTCCAGCACATATTACACCATATCGTCCATCAAGTTTTACACCATCTATTCGAGCAAATGATCCAACTTATCGCCCATCAAGTTTTACACCATCTATTCGAGCAAGTAATCCAACTTATCGTCCTCCAAGTATTCCATTATCTTCTCTAGCAAGTAATCCAACTGATCATCCTACAAGTATGCCATTACCTCCTCTAGCAAGCAATCCAACTTATCGCCCTCCAAGTATTTCGTCATCTCCTCTAGCAAGCAATACAACTTATCGTCCTCCAAGTATTCCATTTCCTTCTCTAGCAAGTAATCCAACTTATCGTCCTTCAAGTATTCCACCTTCTAGTTCAGCAGATATCAATCCGTACCGTTCAGCAAATATTACATCCTATGTTAATATAGCTGATCGATCTACTAATAATCCAATGTCACAATCAGCTGATTCTTCTGCAACTATTCCTTACACTTCAACTGTATCAAGAGTACCTTTGAGTACTTTTGATCCTTTATCTTCTTCCTCTTCTGGAGTTGTTAATAACTATATAAATTTAGAATCAGTACCATCAACTCCTTATCAATCAAATAATTCAATGCCAAAATCAATTCTTCGCAATGGAACATCGACTGATACTCCTTTAATAGTATCCAATGTTTTATCGTCTAACGATGCCGTGAATAAGACGACAAGATTTACTTAAATTCTTTTTTCTTTTGTTGAAAAAAAACAACGGCAAAGCTTCTTTTTTTTTAACATAGACATGCGATGTTTAGATATAATGCACAAGCAGCTACCATTTTTTTCTTTGTTCTTTCATTTTTTCTTTTCTTTTTTTGCAAAAAAAATGGCATAGCCATGTCAAACACGTACAAATACATTTAACATCAAAGGTATCGAAAGAAAAAAAAAATTTGTTTTGAATGAATACGATTGTTCTGTTGTTGCTACCACTTATTCTGGCTACGTAGAAGCATGTGAATAATAAAAGAGAAAAATAAGAATAAGAAAAACAACCTTCGCTTATAGCAATAAGTTGACGATTTTTGTCTGAATACACACATCAATTTAAATCAATCGGTAAGATATTAATATTAATTAAATGGCTGTTACAAGTAATTTATCACCTACGTTCAGAACAAAAACATATCGTTCAGATGGAAATACTCTAAGGAATTCTACAAACTACAAATTTCGTGTACAAAGTGCTCCACCACTTTCATTACAACAATTTGCTCGTTCAGCTGCTGCTCCTATTGGTGCTGAAAAATGGCAACCAAGTGGTGCCTATCATGAACCTACTTTTCATGCATATTTATCACCTGAAATACGAACGAAACCAGCAAAACCTCCAGTTCAACCATGGATTTATGCTTATAGACGAAAAAATTCTATACCTACTTACACATTGAAAAATTATAAAGACCCAAAACCTAAACCATCTGAACCTACATGGCATCCTCCAGGTCGTTACGTACACAAACCAACAACATCACTTAGTCCGGAAAGACGAAAACAAAAACCTATTCATGAACCTGTTTGGCAACCACCTGGAAAAACACAATATGAGCCCGTACCTTATTTTGATCCACCTAATTTAAGATGGTCACTTCGCGAACTTATAAAATCTACGCCTCGTCTGCAAACAAAAACTCTTCGTACATCTAGAAGTGTATCAGTAATGAATAGCTAATATATGAAAGATCTTTCATTGAATAATTTCTATAAATTAATGCTAATGAATTAGAGTTTGTTGCAGGTTTTCTTTTATCTGTAGATTTTTGCATTAAATAAAGATGTTTACGCTTGACAAAAAAAAAGCTTAGAAGGAGTCGTGCCCTTGAACTTCAGAAGTCGATTTTCGATCCATGTTTTGGTATTTACTAAAAATTTAAATAACAGAATTTTTATCTGTAATTTTGCTCTATAGATAGGTCTAATGATACCTAGAATATCTTGAAAGTTTCAGCTGAAAAAAATGTTCCTTTGTTGAGATATCGAATTTCCAAGTCAATTCGATGTCCGTGACAAGCGAAATTCAATATCTCAACAAATAAACATTCTTTTCAACTTTAACTTTTAAGATATTTTAAGGATCATTATATTTATCTATGAGCTAAATTTCAAGTCGAAAATTCAGTAAAATAGTCAAAACTCGGCTCCAGAGGCCTATAGGCATAAACTCTTTTAGGATTTTTCTAATCTTACTGGAACTTCGTTGTGGATACAATGTGAGTTCAAACGATGAATTACAGTTGTATTAACGATTCCCATTCAGAAATCTGACTTCAACAGGATACATGAGTTATTGATGAAACTCTACATAGATGTTCGGCTTTTAGAAATACATTAACAAAAAAAAAAAAGAATTACATGTCCTCATACCTTACTATTTAGGAGATTTCCAGAAACTAGGTTGTAGAGTTCGGGTTGCTTTCATTGGAAAGAAAAATGTCTTATCACTTCGGATAAGGGAAAAAGTTTTTTAATTCTTACTTTGTAGTATTTTCCGAATCATTAAAATCTCAAAAGTCTAGAAACTCTATTCTGCAAAACTCAAGGTTCCTGTATAGCATTGATGATTATAATTATAAAATTTCTTTCCCTTCGACAGTGATTAGATTGAATGTTGCTACTATCTTTCGAAATTTTCTTTTTCTCTATGATCGGTGATGGAATTCAAAGGTGTATTCATGATCCTCATGTTTTAAATTGAATCCGAGTATTAACGACTACGCATGAATATTGTTGCTTTAATTGATGTGAAGCGAAGCTGAACGGTTATGTAGTTCTTCGTGAGTTCACTGTCATTCTTTCTTGTCTTTCACCTCAAAAGTTGTTAGTTTGTGTTGGCAGAATTTTGAACATGGGACCACAGCACATTTTCTTTGAAACACGACATGAAAGTATCGAGAATGAACTGTTACCATTTTTCATAATTTATCAGAGAAGAATTCATTCGTTTCCGAAGAGAGCTCGTAAACGAGAAAAATTCGAAGGCTTTTTCAAGGCCAGAAGATAAGCTATGAATGCATGGTGGGACTGGAGGTGTGGATATAGATATGAATGATGTTATATGTTTGTTTTCTCCTAATCCACACACATACGAACACCAACCAACATTTACAGACACTCATAAGCAGTCTCATCCATACATGTATCTGACAGTCTCTACTGAGTTTCAGTCATCAAGAAATGTGGCTTGCTTGCCATCTACCTATTGGTGATTTGTATCATTAAAGAGGCAATCAAGTCATCATTTACATTTGATACAATCTACAAATATTTTTTCCATTATTTCTACATTTCAGCTAAATGAGAAGTTTAATAATCTTATAAACGATGAGATCGATCGCAGGCACTGCTTCGCACAGAGCTCGCACGACGGACTTAGCCTGTGTGCCATCTATAGTCCATTTCAAAGTTAAATAATCGTGGGCGTTTTTGCAATAACTTAAAAACAAAAAGAGAGAAAAAAACTCTGGCTTTAGGACTATCTACAGTCGACACTACTTTATCTTTTCATAAAATCCATTAAAAGTTCCAGTCACTTTTCTTCTTGGATACATCATGAGTTTTGAAGCTGAGCCTAATCGACTTCAAAAAGAAACTGCCTTCTCAACCATAATATAATGTACAGATAGTCTGTCTTTTCCTCTATCGATCTGTGCAAGTCTGAGATCGATAACAGTTTGTATTATAAAGATATCAAGATTTTGTTGAAGACTACTCATCAATATTTTTTCAAGATTTGAGCAGTAAACAAATTATTCCTTCTATAAGTTTTTATTCGTCTTTGACTTCGTGACAAGATTTATTAGCCTTCAGAACTTTTCTACTAAGAGCGTTATCAAAAACTACACATTGTATTTTTTTGATGATAATACAGGTGTGGGTGTGGGTTTAGGTGTTAAAAGAATGTTCACCGGCACACACCATACCCTTACTCCCACACACTCACATTCACACCGACCTCCACACTCACACTCACATCCACACACACTCCACTCAGTCACACTCTCAATACAACATACCAAGACAGTCTCATATCAATGAAAAAATAATTTGTCTCGAAAGAAAACAATATTTAGGTCGTTCATGCAGCAAGCTACACTGCTTGTGTAATACAGTTCTATTAAGTAAAACCATCTTCATACGCAGGAGTACATAACAGGTTATTAGTAGAACGAAGTTAAGATATTGATGCATTATGATCAAAATAAATACAATGTGTAGTTTTTGATAACGCTCTTAGTAGAAAAGCTCTGAAGGCTAATGAATCTTGTCACGAAGTCAAAGACGAATAAAAACTTATAGAAGAAATAATCTGTTTACTGTTCAAACCTTGAAAACATATTGATAAGTAGTCTTCAGCAAAATCTTGATATCTTTATAATACAAACTGTTATCAATCTCAGACTTGCACAGATCGATAGAGGAAAAGACAGACTATCTGTACATTATATTATAGTTGAGAAAACAGTTTCTTTTTGAAGTCGATTAGGCTCAGCTTCAAAACTCATGATGTATCCAAGAAGAAAAGCGACTGGAACTTTTAATGGATTTTATGAAAAGATAAAGTAGTGTCGACTGTAGATAGTTCTAAAATCAGAGTCTTTTTTTTCTCTTTTTTGTTTTTAAGTTATTCAAAAAACGCCCACGACCATTTAACTCTGAAATGGACTATAGTCCTCTTAAATGAAAAAGTTTTCTTTGTAAAGATATTATGAAGTTGTGTCCATGGTTTCTTGATTGTATTGAAAATGCTGCATAAAACCCGAATGAAATTGGCTCGAAAAAAAATTAGATAGACAATTTCTTGACTTTTTTTTTGTTTCATATGATCTTCGAAGACACTAGATCAATTTGATTTTATATGAGATCGTTTTCGTCGCATATGGTGAGATATGTTACAAAAACTCAGTCGTATTTCATCTGTATCCTAGTCACCCTATACAACGCGGTATTTGAGTTGTATTAAATACAACCGTAAAATACAGTGCAAAACGAACCTTATGCGTGTCATTTTGTTCGACCAAGGCAGTTATTGCACATTTTCCAAGGTCAAATAAGTACGGTCATGAGCAACCGTTTTAAAAAAATTTTTTTGCCGTTTTGTTAGGCGCAGTGTTATGAATGTATTTCGCTGTCTTGTAAACGATCGGATATTCGATTTTCCAACGGTTTTCAACTGTGCATACCGCAGTAAAATACGATATCGTAAGACTGCATCCATCAAACGTCAACTTACAACTACAAACTGTATGAAATGACAATATAAAGTATCGTTTTTGATCGTTTCGACAGGGCTGCTAACTGTGAGATACAACGCATCAAAGGTAGTGCCACTTTCAACGTATTGTACTCCAGAGCTGACAGTCCTACGTCTATCTCGAAAACTTCTTAAATTCTTATTCAAGTACCTATTTTTATTATAATGTTGTACGAAACACTTTGCTTCAAACTTTGTCTTTCAGTGCATCCCATACATTAGCACACTTATCATTGCTGTCAACCGATTCTATACTGTCAATAAATAATTGTGTTTCATGCTCTTTTGAGATACTTTAAATTTCATACAAAAATCTTTTTCGTTTACAGAACTGATAAACTTATCAAAATCTGTGATAGTGAACAACTCTAATCTTAAAAAACTTAGCAAATGTCATTCATAAGATAACTTTGATGTGATCAAGGGAAAAGTATTTTGAATTAACTGATAGAAATGAAAAATTGAACTCTAAATTCTAAATACTGATTATAGATAAGTATATATGTTAAATTTTAAATTTGAAAACATTTTATTTTCTTTTTCGTATCATTATTTTTGTAGTTATCAAAAAAAAAGAATTGTTTATGTACGTTAAATAAAATTATATTATTATAAATTCATCGTATTACAATATTATTATTTAATTTCGAGTGATTCTATTATTATTCTTCTCATCACTAAAACATCTCAGACGTTGAAATAGTCTATTGGTTTATTGTTATTATTATATTTCTACAGAACATTGAATGCTTTGGTTCATATTCAAATATTTCCTTTTTAACAAATTCATAGTTGCAGAAAAATAAAAACGATTATATTCGTTGTTTTCTGGTATAAACAATTTTCAAAGCGTCATATGCGAACGTTACAATAATTATAAAATCGCGAAAAAAAAACATAAGACACTCATGTAAAAATTTTTTTTTTGATAAAATATTCTTGGGTGTCATATGAATATAACTGTCATGATAAGTATGTCTGTCTCGATATATAGAAAAAAAAACAACATCGTCCATTCCAAACAATAGTAGGCAAGCAATTGAATATGTTATTGTTATCTTTTCATCTAATCGTCATTGTCAATGGTTGAAGAGCGTTGTTTCGAATTAGACGACGGACAGCATTTGCCTTTCTCTTTTTTTGTTTTTATTTGATTAAAACATGCTTCTATACATGAAAGACAATGAGATTCTATTCGAAAGGCTTCATGGCTTTTCGAAAAAAAAAAAAGAAGAAAAAGCTCTTCAATTTTCAATTATCATACAATGTATTTTTTGCATTGACTCAATATGATAATCTCATGATCTTCAGCGTATTAATTAGGTTCTTTTTTGTTTCAATTCAAGTGTAAATTTTTGATTTAACAGAATATGACTAATGGCAATTCTCAATTTTCTTTTAATCGCCTATGATTTGCTCAT